CTGGGTGGCAATGCTAACAAAAATTAGTGTGGATCCTGTTGCCAGAATAAATACTGAAGTTCTTCAGCCTATCTTGAAGTCTGATCTCTAAGGAATACTGCCTATGAATAATTAGCTTATGTAAACTTACAGCTTTTGATAACATGACAGCTATATCCCCTTAAGATGCTCATAAAATATTGGCCACAAAAAATTGCTAAATTCACTAAACAGTTTAAAAAATAATCTGAAAAGTAAAACACCACTGTGCAATTTCTGAGGTATAGAGATGGCCAGCAGTCTCTGACAGTGGCTCTAGGAGCATTCATTTTATTTCCCTTATTCATGTCTTTCTCAAGAATAAGCATTCTATACAGCATTCTCTGCTTCTCTTAGCAAAGCCCTCCCAGCATGGGGCTCTCAATATATTTGGGCCCATAAGCTTCCTTTTTATATATTATGTTGTACATACAATGCCCCAGAATTTTCATATATGCATCTTAGTCGGGTTTTTGTTTGCTTGCTTGGTTTTAGTACTGTGGATTTAACCCAGAGGTGCTTTACCATTAAGCTCTATCCTAAGCCCCTTTTCCTAAATTTTGAAACAGAGTCTCACTAAGTTGCTGAGGGCCTTGCTAAATTGTCGAGGCTGGCCTCAAATTTGCCATTCTCCTTTTGTCATATTTTCCAGTTGCTGGGATTACAGGTGTGTGTCACAATACCCAGTGATTTTAGTGCTTCTTTGAAAGCTACTCCTATATTTACAGTGGGAAATGAAATTTCCTTCTAGGAGACGAGTAAACAACAATTTTGCTACCTGATTGTTAGCTGGGTAGTGGTTGGTTGAACATATTTGTGCTTGGTAACTTTTGTTTAGAGGGATGACTAGTGATAATACTGTACTTATTTTGAAAGTGTACCTGTTGAAATCAAGCCAAGTGCAAGGCCTCGTCGGCTGTCAAAATACTGGCACGTAATGGTCACTGTTGCAGTGTATAATAAGCCACATCCGAGACCTAAGCATAAGAATATATTACACATATTAAGACAGATTGAAATACTTCAATTTAAAAAAAAAAAGGAAAGGAGAGGATCGGAAAAAAGAAAGAGGGAAGAAAGAAGAAAGAAACAACCAAGTTTTTCCAACAGGGCATTGCTACTGCTGGATAAAACCTCAGAGTTCAGGTTTTGGACCCCTCCATCTGTGTTACTTCTGGTGCCCCAGTGGAAAAATTGGGCAGTTTTCACCCTACACCTACCTTAAGGTCAGGGTCAAATTTTTAAAAAAATCTAATTTCTAAAGCATAAATCAATCATGCAAATGTCATTTTAAGACTTTATGAGGAAACAGAGAAAATGGTTCAAATGTACACCAACTAGTAAAATTTAACCAAACTTGCCCATTGAATATCTGTTTTTTCTTTTAAGTCAATACCCCTAACTCAGTGTTCCTCCTCTAGGTACCCTAAACAATTTCTAGATAACCCCTTTCCAAGAGCTGTTTTGTTGGAGCTTGGCTTATCACCCAGTCTGCAAAGCAAAGGTCTCAGGCAGTTCTTCTGGGGAGCTCAATCATCCCATCACAGAACAATTAATATTTGTAAGTCTTCATCTTTTAGGGATGCACACTTTATAACTTAGAAGAAGCATGTGGTGATGATGCATTTAATTCAGTCTAAAGCAACTTTGGGTGTAAAAAAGCAAATATGATAAAACACTAAAAATTGTCAAATTTAAGTAGTGGTTATTTAAGTATGATTATTTGCTATACTATTCTGTAATGTCCTGTAAATTTGAATTTTTTCATCATTAAAAAAATCTTACAACTAAATTTCCCTTCTTGAGTCTTAAAGGTAATATTTGTCTCCAAATTATATCCAAGTCTCTTGTTTGTTAGCATAATCCTTTTCTCTCTGTGAAGTATCTGATAACCCCAGTTTATTTTTCACAAAATTCTCCTTTTTCTCTAATGCATTTTCGTTTTGCCTGTCTTTTTCAACATTATAACTTTGAGGCTCACTGGAAGCCAAGGGGAAAACTGAATTTTAACCATGACCCATTAAGTGAATTAAGATCTTTTCCAGGTTGGGCAGTGGTGCGTGGCTATAATCCCAGTGATGCAGGAATCTGAAGCAGATGGGTTAAAGCAAGACCCTGCTCAAAGTAATTAACAACAACAACAACAACAACAATTTTACAAAATAACTGGGGATATAGCTCAGTAGTAGAGTGCTCCTGGGTTCAATCCTCAGTACCATAATACTTTATTTTGTATGTTTGAGGGGGGAAAAAATCTCACTAATTTAAACATTAATTGGATTAATTTATACAGCTGTCATTACAACATATAGAACACTTCATGATGTAAAGTAATACTAGTTCTAAAAAGTCAATTTTGTGAAACCAGAAAGTGTCAACCTTAACTGAGATTCTTTTTGAATGCTTTTGGAGGAGAAATGGATTTAATTTTCTGTGAATTGATTTTCAGGGTTCTATTAAATATGTGGCATTGGAGACATGAAAAAAGACATTTCAGATTTCTAAATGCCAATGCCAACAATGTTGAGGCAACAACTTTTAAATTTTTAACCTTAGATTACATAGAATTTTTAAAAAATAATTTAAAGTTCATGGATGTCAAATAAGATTATTATTTATTTGTTCTTTTAACTTATTCTTGAATTTTACCGATTTCCAGAAGTTGCAATGCACTCAAGGAGAAATCATCTCAACTGCATTATTAATGGAAACTATCGTCAGTATTTAACAGTGCATGAAAATCTCAAAAGATAACTGATTGAGAATTCTTAGCATTTTGTAATCCTATGTACTCTGCATTTCCAGTTATTTTCTTTGTGCTTTTAATAGCGTTTTCCTAATGCTTATGCTATTTATTTTTTTAACCCTAGCAGAAATTTAAAATGTATTTTCTTCAACGTTTTCAGAAATGCAGAAAGTAGCACATTACTCTCACACCTCTATTAGGAAGATCTTAAGCCAACAGTTATTAAAGAGAGGTTGTGAAGAACTCATGGAGTCCATGAAGCCAAAAATATTGTTACCAGAATGCCAAGATGTTGTTGACTTTTTTCACTGTGTTCATATTTATGCTGATGGTACAGAAAAAAAGATGGCAAAAAATTGCAAAAGACTTAGCAGAAATCAAGGTATTTGTACCAAACTTCATATCTCATAGGCTTTACCACCACATACTCACAGTGAAATCAAACAAAATTGCTTTAAATGCTTCGTCTGTTTTATAAAAATTGCTCTAAAGACAAGCACTTAAGCAATTGTTTCAGTAGCCAGCTAAAATAGCCACTGCTTTTTTTTTTATATAACCCTGTGTTTTTTATTTGTACAATGTCTAATAAATAAACTGTGATTATTCACTCTGAGTATTTGGCAGATATTTCCTTAAAAATGGACTAACAAGGGAAGCAAGTGTCAGTAATTACCACCAGTGATAAAAGCCAAATTTTCCAGTTAAAAAAAATAGAATTTTAGAAAACTTGTATCTTGCACCATGAATTTTATAGCTTTCCAACACATACAGATTTTCTAATGAGCTTGTTGGTAATATTAACGAAAGTGATTTTTGAAATATCTTAATATTTTTAAAGTTCTTGAATTACTTAGAAAACTAATGTTTTTCAAATAAATAATAAATAAATAATAATAATTGTTATAAAGTCAAGTTTGAAAAAATAATCAAGTTACAAAATAAATGAGTTTAATATAACAAAGTACAAAAATGTATACTGATGTGGTATCAGGTGCACATTGCAATTAATCTTTTAGGAAACTATCTCCTACAGAATTTTCATATAGTATCAAAGAATATGTCCACTTGACTGAAAAAGCTATTAAAAACACTTCCCTTTTCTACCTACATCTTTCTGTAATACCAAATTTTCTTCATAAAACTCAAAGCATAAAACATGATTAAAAAAACATATTGCAACAGAGTCAGTACTGGTATACATATGAGAACCCATGTCTTCTATGAAACTAGGTACTAAAAGATTTTCAAAAGTTTGAAAGCAATATCACTCTTCTCAGGCTGGAGGTGTAGCCCAGTGAAAGAGCACCTGCCTAGCAAACCAGGATCTGGATTTGACCCCTATCACTACAAAACAAAATAAAACAAAACAAACAAACAAAAAAGCAACAATAACAAAAACATTCTTCTTACTAAATTCTCACTGAATTTTGTTTTGTTTTAGAAAACAGAGTTATTTCATATAATAAATGTGTTATTTATGTTAACATGTACTGAGTTTGCTTTCTTTAAATGAATGACTAAGCAAATATTTTTAAAATTTCTTATATTGTATGTAGTAAATTTTTATAGAATAAAGAAAAATATAATCCACATAATCAAAAGCTCCTTGGGGTCCTAAATACGAAAGTAAGATGAAAACATCTGGTAACTACTGCTTTAAAGCATTCCCTGGTCCTAATCAGTTTTGATCAGACTCAAAAAAAATGATGAGCATCGATCTCCAGTAGAAGCATAATTTTAAAATAAAATATCCACACTGCTGAGAATTCAAAGCATAAAACATGAGTTAAATACAATTGTTTCCCTTTGCTTAAATAATTAAAACTAAATATAGTTAGATGGTCTAACATTTATTTTCCACATTCTTTGTTTGATTTCACACATCTTTGGGTAAAAACACAATTCCAGAGGCCTCTTTCCCCCATATCCTCATATCTATAAAAGTTGTCAGATCAAAGCAGAGTCACTTTTGTCCATCCATAACCAGAAACTAAATAAAGGTGGGAAGTTATAAAAAAGAGGATCTCATGCATGAATGCAAGAACTATTCATAAAAGATACTGCCAGATCTATAACTCTGCAAAAAGGCCGAAAGAAAGAAAGAGAGAGAGAGAGAGAAAGAGAGGAAGGAAGAAAGAAAGAGAGGAAGGAAGGAAGGAAGGAAGAAAGAAAGAGAGGAAGGAAGAGAAGGAGAGAGAGTAGGGGAAGGAGGAAGGGAGGGAAGTAAAGGAAGGAACAAAGGAGGAAAATCTTCTGCAAGGACATCCACCCAACAACTGGGCAGATGCCACCCTTGTTATTGATTCTTGTAGCCAAGGATCTTTTTCCAAAAAATCCTATATAATCCACCTCATTTCACCTTTAAAAACTTCCTCTTCCTTCAACCTCCTTAAATTATGCTCATCATTTTCTATGGCATGAATATCCCCATTTCAATGATAGTATACTCTCAGATAAGCTTAATTGATCTTTAGAGAATCTCTCTCTGATTGTTATTCAGGTTAGCACATCCAGCTGTTTATCACACCCACTCTCTGCATTATCAACCACCATCATCTCTCTCTGCACTGCTACTGCCTCATTTGACCTCCTCCAGCTTTTCTGATCTGACTATGGCCTCCTAATTAGTAGTTGTCTCAACCTCCAGTGCTTTCCCCACCAATCTAAGCTGCTTCCCAACGGTACTCATTACATCATGCTCCTGAAATAAAGACTACATAAAACTTTTTCTCATCAGGCCTCTGCTTTGATATATTTACAGTTCCCCATGTGACTCGGGGGGAGGGAGAGACTGCTGTTATCCATTCTATCTCATGCTTCTAAGCATCTGGGCTCTGAAATGTCTTCCTCAAACTACCCTTCCAATGGATATCCAGCTGTCCTTTAAATTTCCACACCCTCTTCCTGCACATACATAGTACACCAGTGCTGAATGCTGGTTTCACTTCACTATTGTACTTATTTTTGTACATTTATAATTCTATAGTTTTATGGCATTGTATAGATTTAACCTCAGATTGTATTAGAAAATCTTAGTTCCTTACTACAACTGCATATCCATGATGATCAAAAGACTATCTTTAATGATATAACCATTTAAAAGGAGGAGTGGAGGAGAGGCTCGTAAAATTCTACTTTTGCCACAATTAGAGTAAGAAAGTCAGATGAAAATGAGTTTTTCTCCTTCTATATCAGTGGATTATACAGATATCAAGAAAATTAAGGAAGATCAAACTCAACAATTTGACAAGGTCCTTAGCAACTCAGTGACATTC